ACTCGTGCCGGTGGACTGGGTCGGCCCTCCAGCGGCCGTGGCCCTCTCCGGTGCGGCCCGTCTGCTCCGGCACACTGAGCTCTGTCCAGCACAGAGCCGGGCACCTCCACACCCCCGCCGGGGGTCGCCTCGCACCGCAGGCCGGCGCCGGCCGGGTCCACCAGCAGCATCCGGATCTCCTGCAGGGCGGTGCAGGGCTCCTCCACCGGCCCGCCGGACAGGCTCTCCTCCAGCTGAGAGAAGCCCGAGCTGCCCGTCTCCGTCCCCTGGGCCTCCATGTGGCTCTGGATCATGTGCTGGAAGTACTCCACCTCACTCATCTCCATCAGGCTGAACTGGCAGCTCGCACCCCCTGCCGCGGACCCCGCCTCACACACGGGATGGTCCTCTGACGAGGCACAGGCCACTGATGTGCTCATCCTGAAACACAGTCCCCGGCTCATGAACTCACACACCATGAGCAGTCCAAATACATCACACTGACTCGCTCACTTTAATATAGTGGTTCTCAACGGGGGCAACGGGGGGCGTTGGAAGCAAGATTTTTGAAAGGGGGGCGTTCAGGTGTTAATGGGGGCGTTCATGAGTTTAAATATAACGCAAATTTTTGTTCATTTACTTTATTCATTTTAAGCATTTAATAATTTATTTGTAATAAACACTTTAAGTAGGCTATTTAAAAAGTGTTAGGACTATTTATGTTAAATTATGTTGTAAAACATATGCGCAGAGTGTGAGGTCATATTGTGTGTGCGCGTCTATGGTGCGGGTAGAAAAAATTCGTCAGCCTCTCTCAAAAAACAAAAACAACATTCGTCCGCTACTCCTGACCGCAAGTCCACCGTCAGTGTTGTGGGTAGGCACACTAAGCAGTTTTGTTGTGTTCATTTCTATTGCATTACGATTGAAAGCAGTACAATAATGTCAAAAATATGATGTGCAGTAAAGTTTGGGTGTGTGTGCTGTTTAAATGAGTGCTCTCACCGATACGCTTGTTGTGATTCGCCGAGTTTTGACTTGTATTTTGACGACTAGAATCAATCCAGCGCTGGCTAGAATCACGCAGCCGAGGAATGGAAAGTTGACAAGCCATTAAAAAGTATTGACTTAAGAAACACTTATATATTTTCAATAAATCATGTTCCCATTCACACTAAATTCTATTTATAAGGTAAAACTTTTTTTAAAAAACATTTTTAGGCATTATCAATCCCAATGCCTAATGCCAAAATGTTTTATTTGTTCACCAAGTAATTTACTGGTCAGGCATTTTTGTTAACTCACAAGACAGTAAGGAGAAAATGACAATTTGATGGATAATTTATATTCTGTAATCACATTTTTTACACATCTGAGCGCAAAACGCTGCTTGGATAGTTTCAAGATAGTTAAAAATAATTAATAATACAATAATAATTTAATTGAATTGAATTAATCATATGTATTAATTCTTGTTAGAATATATATATTTTCACTGATTATGAACACAAATTAATCACAAATTAATTGTAATTGTATTAATTATACCATTGATGAAAACCAGCTGATACCAAGGTATTTTAGGCCTACAATTATAACATAATTTTTCATGAAAAATCAGGATTGTATTTATTTATTTTTCGAAAGTAAGGTTAATGTAAGTAGCTTCTTGCAATACTCTCCTGAATGAGTAATAAAACCTACGTGCAAACATTACCGCTTAATGACCGTCCTTTATTTTTCAGTGCATTTGTTTTATAATATATGGCTATTACTGTCATCATGGGATTAATATTATAACTATTATGTAGTAGTGTAATGTAGACAGACACAACTAAAAGAGGTTTGAATTTTCCTTTGCTTAATTTGCACACTGGATATGGGTGAAGCTTTTAATTTTGAACTCTCAAAGTGCACCAGATTGATGAATTTAACATTAAAATGCACAAAATTTTCTTACAAGGGGGCATGCCCCCGAACCCCCCTAGAAGGCCCGAGGACCACCCACCACAGATTTAACAAACACCCTGAAACACTGCTATTGCTATGCCAATGCAACTTATAGCTTTTGGGGGGGATTAATCACTGTGGAGTAATTGTTTTAATAAATTACAATTTTGTACTTATTTCATGTGTTAACTCTCACTCGCTTGACTCGCTCATAACATGGCATTAGTTGAGGTGGGGTGGGGTGGGGTGGGGGTCAGGGACCTGGATATTGGATAGGGGGCGCTGGCCCAAAAAAGGTTGAGAACCACTGTTTTAATACATCTTATGTGTTGTAGACACTCACACATTCAAGTCTGGCTCCATTAGCTATGACAATTTTTACAATCTAAACAGTTCTCAATGGATTAAAGTCTCTGAATTTAATTTTTTTTTTTGTCTCATTGAATATTCTGTTTAGCTCAAAGTATGTAACATTAGTTTAAATCGGTAAAATAGGTTGTGGAAGCCATTTCATGTTAACTTCTCCTGTATTTACAGTAACGCTAGGAACAATAACTTGCCAACTATGGTTACTATGATGGTTTTGGAGTAATTTATTGGGATAACAGACCCATTCTCTAACAATTTAAACAGTTCTCAAGGAAATTACAATAGTATATTTAACCAAAACACAGTCTTGGCGAAGGCCTCAACTTCCCGAGTTTTCCCGCCCTCACATCCCGGATTTAACAGTTGACTGAATCTACCACGACCGTTAATAACAGAATTAATTAAGCACACAATGCCTCCGAATCGTGGGTCGACTGTAGGGAGTGAGAACAGCTCCGTGGACCCGGTAATCGGTGCCTGAGGGGACTCACCTGACGCGGAGCGGCTGGACCCGGAGACGACAGGCGGTTTCTCCCGTTAGTGACGTCACTCACTCGCACCCGCGCTCGCTCGCTCGCTCGGCTGGCTTTTATTTATTTTGGCTCAATGACGCGATTTGCTTGTAATAACTTTATATTAAACCTGGAAAGACCCATGAACAGCAATATGTTCCTCATCTTTTATGCATAGACAGCATATTGTATACGCAAATCACACCCAATGACCAAGTCACGAGGACAGACATTATTAAAACATTTTATTCATAAATGTAATTTTTCTTTAACAACACCCAAATTAAATGATTTTTATTTGTGACTAACTACTTAATTATGACACTAAAAACTATTAACAATAAAAAAAAGTGTCAAAACTGTGAAATTGTATGACTGAATGTAGCGTAATCTACTCTGGACGTTGAATTGTGTATTACTGTATTTATACATTTCCCTAAAAATGTTTTTATTGTCTTCCATTTTCTCTTTTTAGTGCTGTCATCCATTGTTGCTGTATTTAAATGTTTTGTTAATTGTAGGCAAAAGTAAACTTTGCTCACTTGATTCATTCCTTCTTTCAACACTTCATTAGATTTTTTTTTTTTTTTTACTTTTAAAAGCCTATCTATGACACGTATTTGCACTTTACCTTTTATTGTAGGAGTGTAACGATATATCGCAGTACAAAAATGCAACAATATGTATCGTGGATAGTGATATTCTGTAAAAAAAAAAATTAAAAAGAGTTTTAATGTCAGTACTACATTAAACTACTAAATATAATGTTGAATATAATGTATATTAATGGGGGAATATCTGTGGGTCCAGACAAAGCCAAACATCTGATGTTACCAGTAAAAAGTGGCCTACATTATTATAAATATATCTAGTCAGTGACAGAGATCAAGCATATTCATCTACAATAATTCAGTATTTTCATCTTCAGAATTATGAATATTGTTATTCTGGTGTTTCTATTGTCCTGTGCTTTGGGTTTCAGCACCAAGTCCAAGCCCATTAATTTACAACCAACAATGTAAAACCAAATTTACCATTTTAATCAACAGCAAAAAAAAATTTTTTTTTTAAGTATAACGTTTTATCATATGTCTTGGAGTGTCGCAATAATATTGTATTGTGAGTTCAGTATCGAATCAGGACATGAAGGTATTGTTACAGCTCTAATCCTTATTGTGATCAGAATCCATCAATGATTGTCAAAAGCTGGCTAAGATGTGTCATAACAAAAACAATGTGTTCAATAAAGATACACTATCCATGCATTACAAAACTGAGATGGTATTTTAATATGAACATAGTAATATTTAAAGAGGCACTCCAACCAAAAAGGTAAATTCTGCCATAATTTATTAATCTATGATCGTTCTTTTATCTGTGGAACAAAAATATATTTTGAGAAATGTCTCTGGGTTTTTATTTTTGTTCACACCATGGAAGTTAATTGGCTCACAGTGTTCTTTAAAATATCTTCTTTTGTGTTCTGCAGAGGAAGATGTGTGTTTGGAAGCAGACGGGGTGAGTAAATGATGACAGAATTCGCATTTTTGGGTGGCGTATCCCTTAGAAAACACACACATTTACAGATCATTAAGTGCACTGCTCAGACGTTGTGGTTCAGTTCTTTACTAAATGAAATCAGTGGAAATATGACAAGGTTCCATTTTTTGAAATACTGAATTACTTACAAATGTACATTTAGAAAAGTACTTAAAAATCTATGAACATAAATGTACACTGCTATTTATAGCTCATGAGAACATTTTTATAATTGCAAGAGATAAAAAAAATAAAAATAAAACGTTCACAGACTTTTGTCAGTAGTTTACATGAACATGTCCTGCTTCCACAAAACAAAACAAAGTTTATTTTTCAGCAATCAACTTAAAGTAAGTTGATATGGCAGGGTGAACAAACCTTCAATCTTTCAAGAAACACCAAACAGATTTATCAAAAAACTGCTGCACTTTCCAGAACAATGTTTTCTGATTGAGATCTATCAATGTGCAGGCTTTATAACAAGATCAGCCTATGCTTGAACTTGCACATATTTAACCTCTGGTCTTGTTCCTTTATTCCCCAAACATCTGCACCTTGAGGTCCATCTACAGCACAGACGTTCACATCTCGACTGCTCCCATCGCTGGAACAGTCTGAGCTCTCGCCTTCCCTCTATGAAAATCTGAATCAACATCTCCACTATTTTCCTTCTGTCCTATCTCCACATATCTGGCCTTTTTTCCCCTCTAAATCTGCCGCCCCGTCCTCGGGACCTCCGGCAGGCTTGTCCGTAACTCCTGTCCCGAACACTCGGTTCTGCCGGTCTGCTCTCATACCCTTCTTCCTGAAGTACACCTTCTGAGGTATCACGCAGCGGATGTTTAAAACTGTTGTTCTCTTCACGAATGCTGTCCTGTGGCCCGTGGCCGTGTGCCGGTGCCCGCTCACACTCGCTGTGGGAGCCGTGTCTGTGCACCTGGGCAGCGCTGGGATTAATCGGGCCTCCAGGGGGAGTGGGCAGCAGAGGACCGGATCGTCTTAGAGGGCGTATATTTGTCGGTCTCAGTTGGCGCTCAAAAGGTGCAGGTGGTTGCCCTAAGTTTTGAACCTCGCATGGATTTTGATGTAGTGTTTTTTTAAAATGAGTGGTAGTGGAATGGTTGGGAAAGCCAGATGAATGGGCTTCATTATGCTCGTCGAAACGCTCACAGTTTTGAGGTGAAGGTCTTCTCGGTCCATGTAAATCAGGAGAAGGCTCTCTTTGGCCCAGAAACTGCTGCGGAGAATCAAAGCGAGGTCCCCTCATCTGATCATTCATTTGATGACCCCTTGCAAAAAACGTCCCACGGACGCCCCGTCTGTGTCCTCTAAAGCCTCTTGGTGGACCTTCAGGGTATCGCCGTCCTTCAAACGGGCCGTGCGGGTCTTGAGCGTGTGTCGGAGCCCGTCTTGGAAAACAAGTTTGAGCTCTTGGATCTTCTGCCTCCTCTGCAAACGTCTGAGGGCAGTCAGGGCCTTGTGGCTCACACATATCTTGGGGGGAAGCATGTCCACTCGCTTCAAAGCCCGAGGACTGGGCCAAGCGCGGCCGTCGCGGTTTCCTCATGGACACCGGCGGGTGCTCTCCTGATGGCTCCCACTCATCAAACGGGGACGGCTGGAAACGCTCTCTGGGACCAGGAGGCCTGAAATCGCCCTTGTGCACAGGGACAGGCCCTAATATTGACTCTCTTCGCTCAAACTGGACAGATTCATCCTTATGAAAGTTTTGCTCCTGCATGTGAGATCTAAACCTTTTGTGAGATAATCTATCAGTTTCAGGTTCTTCAGGAAAATTGCCTTCGTGTAACAGGGCAGGCCTGGGTTTCTGAGCTTGATGGACCTGGTCGGTCTCTCCGTGTGGAAATCTCCTGGACATGCGGTGTGGGTGTTTTTGGTGCTCAAACTTGTCATGCTCCCTTGGGGAGAACTCCTCCTCTTTTTGAGATGCACAAGGTTGACTGTCGTGCAGAAAAAAGCTGTCTCTTTTATTTCGAGGCAGTTCTCCGCAGTAGAACTGATCAGAGTCCGGTTGAGATAAGCGTCTGTGTTGCGAATGGAAAGCCCTTTGAGTGTAGTCTCCTGGATGTAATTTGTCTGTCTCATTCTGTAAATAATTTGACCTTTGAACTGACGGCATGCCTCTCTTCTGCTCGATCTGGCCAGGCTCAGGAAAGTGAGCCGTTCGGTTGTGTGGCGGCGGGTTAGATGGACCGATGGACTCATGGGGAAAAGCGTCAGTCTGAAATGTGTGTGTCTGTGATGCTGGTGTAACTCTGTGTAAAGGCAGGTCAGTCTCGGGCAGGAGTGGTCCTTCTTTAGACGACGAGTCAATTCTGCTCGGGGGCAAATGATCTCTCATCATTTCAGATCGTCTAGAAAACGGCTGGTTTCGGTCAAATGACTTCTTTAATAGCAGCGGAGAACAATCTGGATTCTGGAATGTCTGAAGTCTTTGATCAGCCTCATGCTTTCTATTTAAAGAACCACCTTGCTGAAGCCCGGCCAAATGTTTGTCTTTACCAGCACTCTCACTGTGTCCCGATGTGTGTTGCATGCCCTCCCTGCCTGGCACAGAGTCAGATCCCTGTACTGAGGATTGAGCGCTGAGCTCTGGGGACGGGCCGGGCTCTTGCTCTGTCTTTCGGGACGGGCCACTGTCGTCCAGTGCAGACCTGTCCCTCCGGCTGGAGCGTGAGGGCGTGGAGTGGCGACTCCTCCTCCGGTACCGTGAGGGCGACGACGAGTCCCTGTGGGGGTGCCGATGACGTGTCCGTGAAGATGCCTCTCTCCTCCGGTCGCTGTAACTCCCCCGAGAGGACCGCTCTGCAGACGGCCGGCTCCTGTGGGCTTTCTCCGGGACGTCCTTCGAGGCTCTAGCTGTGTGCGACGCTCTTGAAGACGCTCGGTCTTTGTGGTCTGACTTGTGTTCGCCCCACGACCTCCTTCTTGACGAACCACATGAGCTCGATGTGGACCTTCTGCTGCCTCCTTTTTTGTCTGTATTCTCTGAACGTGAGCATTTTGTGTCCTGTAGTTGTACAGTTTCTGGTGTCCCTTCTTTTGGTATTGCCGTATCAGAAGCTACTTTCTCTTTCTTTGTGATTAATGCTTTGTTCACCATTATTTTCTTGGTCTCTTCCAGGTTTAATAATTTTTGTGCAGTTTCTTTTTCTATAGCTTCGCATTCAGCAACATCAAATTGCACATCCTGGCTTGCTTTTCGACACATACGTGGATCCCTATTCTGATTAATCATTGGACAATAGGGTGTTTTTTCTACTTCTTCCTCTTCCTCCCTACCAAACGCTGTTGGAGGCGACATCAGAGCATCAGAAACTGAGAAATGGGCCATGGAAACACCAATGGCCTCCTTCTGAAGGCGAAGACTTTCCGTCTGTTCTTCTAACTGTCTTTTCTGTTCCTCTATCTGCCTATTCAACTCTTCAAGAATTCTTTGCTGCTCAGACAATGTAGTACTTGAGATTTTATCATTGTAATGGGGAACTTTATGTTCAGAGATGGCGGGTTTGTGAGGTAAAGAGTTACTTGTGAGGTAATTTTGCATCTCCTCGAACACAGTCTCATCCTCTGGATCATAGGCTACATCACTGGTAACCATAGAGGATTCTTCCGTATTTTTAGCCTCTGAGGTCTTGGGTATATTATTTCTGACAGTAGGAACATTAGCAACTGCACTGTACTCTTCCTCTGGGTCATACGGTCTATCATCATCATCGTCATCCTCACCAAGGGCTGCAGATGAAACTTTAGGCTCCACAACTTGGGTTGGACTAAAAGTAACCAGGGCCCCATTAGACATAGCCGGGTCATACTCCTCGGGGTCGTAAGGCCTATCATCACCCAACTCCATTGGATCATCATGTTTGCTGATCTGTTGACAAGGCTGAACCGTATCTGTTGACGAGCTTATATTACACTCTGTGGGATCAGAGGGTTGTTTCTTTTGACCAAATAACGTGTTAAGGATGGTCTGAAGTGGGGTGGTATTGGTGGAGTCTTTGGATGGGCCCGCATTGACAGAAGGGGTGGGTTTCGACACAGAAAACCCTCTCGGGAGAGAAGACAGGGCACCCAGAGAGCATGATGAGTCTGGTAACCCAACTGAAGGTAAAGATCCAGAAGGATTTGAGTTGAGGAAGATATCAGCATCACAACCCTTAATGTTATGTGGTGCAAGATCATTTAGTGGGGTGGGTTTGCCGGTTTCCTTTTTATCCACACAAATCAAGGGCCTAGACTTCTTTTCACCAACATCTTGTAGCAATCCCTCAAGACGCTTCATTTTCTGACAGACTGCTAACCCCATTAGGATATTAGGGTGATCCTGTTCAAGCCCTAAGAGAAGTCACAACATAAAACGGTCAAAATCATCATCACCTGATGTCGAAACAGATCAGTATGTAATATGTGCATGATATACCTGGTCCCTCTATTGGAAGAAGTGCCGCAGGGATGGACTGTTTTGTAGAGAGCGGGATGAGGTAAAGATCTTTAATGTGTTTACAAATGTTAGAAACAACCCCAAATCTCCTACGACTATTGAAATATGAGAACAGGGACACATATGCAACCTCCTCTTCTTCAGAGGCTGGGTGAAACCGGATTAATGACAGCTCCTGTATTCAAAGAAATAGTGCAAAGAGATTTGATCAAGGGCATTTAGTAAATAACGTGCATTTAATATATCAATATTATTAATAATAAATTTGAGGTCATGGGCTTACCTTTGCCTCTGATGTCTTAATCAAATCAACATATTCCCAGACAGTTTGAGGTAATATCCTGCCTCCGACTTGTATAGTGTCTGGTAAGTCCTATACAGAGAAAATGCATACATGTAACACCCACTGGCCACATTTACCACCTGTCATATATACAGCATACCTCGAGAAAATAATTAGTACCAAGAAAAGATTGTTCATGTTTTTGAAGTCTCTTCTGCTCACCAAGGCTGCATTTATTTGATTCAAAATACAAAAAAAAAAGTAATATTGTGAAATATTACAATGTAAATCAGCTGTTTTCTATGTGAATATATAGTAAAGTGTAATTTATTCCTGTGATCAAAGCTGAATTTTGAGCATCATTACTCTAGTCTTCAGTGTCACATGATCCTTCAGAAATCAGTCTAATATGATGCACAAGAAACGTTTCTCATTATTCTCAATGTTGAAAACAGTTATTAACATTTTTATTTCAGGATTCTTTGATGAATAGAAAGCTCAAAAGAACAGCATTTATCGGAAAAAGAAAGCTTGTGTATTTTTAATCAAAAAAATGCAGGTGAGCAGAAGAGACTTCTTTTAAAAACACTAAAAATCTTACAGATCAAAAACTTTTGAACGGCAGTATATTTAAATAATAACAATAATAATTTAGTTATGTTTAAAAAGACCCACCTCTTTCAGAAACTCAGCAGAGCCAGAAATTAAGTATCCCTTTGTGACGAATTTGGCCACAGTTGGCATGTTAAGAAAGCCTTTCCATAAAATGTTCTGTTTAGATAAAAACTGTCTTGTTCCTTTATCGCAATCTGCCCGCCTTGAAAAAGAAAATCACATGATTAGAATGCATTGGTCCCACTTGTTTGAGCAATTATTGTATTATTTATTCACCTTGTGGTTGAGCCGTATGAAGCGCCCAGTGAAGCAGGCGAAGGCTTCGTGAGGATAGACTTGGGCATCGGAGCGGGTAGGTGTACGGACACATGTGGTGTGTGTGTCTCTTTAACCGGCTCCAGCACAGGCCTGGCTGGGTCCAGGTGCGGGTGTACGGACACATGTGGTGTGTGTGTCTTTTTAACAGGCCTGGCTGGCTGCGGGTGTAGGGTGGACACATGTGGTGTGTGTGTCTCTTTAACAGGCCTGGCTGGCTGCGGGTGTGGGGTGGACACATGTGGTGTGTGTGTCTCTTTAACCGGCTCCAGCACAGGCCTGGCTGGCTGCGGGTGTGGGGTGGACACATGTGGTGTGTGTGTCTCTTTAACCGGCTCCAGCACAGGCCTGGCTGCCTGCGGATGCGGGTGTACGGACACATGTGGTGTGTGTGTCTCTTTAACCGGCTCCAGCACAGGTCTGGCTGCCTGCGGATGCGGGTGTACGGACACATGTGGTGTGTGTGTCTCTTTAACCGGCCTGGCTGGCTGCGGGTGTGGGGTGGACACACACTCTGGACCCGCAGACGAGGGCAGGGTCTGTCGGTACTGTGCTGTCCGAGGATCTCTCCGTGAGAGGGACACAGTGGGAACTGCAGGAATCAGGACCGGAGAGAAGTCAGCAGTGGGCGCCTGGGACTCGAGGTCCTCTGCACTGGGAGAAGCAGGAGACTCGATGACTGCAGACTCCAGCGCTTCAGCGCTCACGTCCACAACACACGGAGACTGCTCCTTTTCGGTGTCATCCTTCATCGTCTTCATCTTGGGTTTCTTGGTTTCAGGATCATTATCAGATGATACTTGGCCTGCAGGTAAGACATCTTTAAGTAACAAATTATACTGTGGCAACTTTATAACCGTTTTTATTTTTTACTTTCTCTGGCCTTTTGCTTGACATGTTATGGAAGAAAGTTACAGATACTATTTGTTGAGTCTGTGGTTTGCAATACTTATACTTGCAACTTTTTAAAGGGGTCATCGGATGCAAAATTCAGTTTTACATGGAGTTTGCATATAAATGTGTCTTTGCAGTGTGTGGACACAACCACCATACAATGAAAAAAAATCCATTCACTCTTTTTTTTTTTTTTTATCCTCAAAAAGCCTAAACACTCAATCAAGCCGTTTGGATTTTCTGAGCAATATGATGTCATATTGCTCATGCTCTGACCCATGACCGCTGACGGACTGTCCCATATTTCCCGTATTAGAAGTGGGAAAAAATAATCTGCAAAATAACAGAATTCATAGACAACTGGAAAAGTTTTTGGGGCAAGCCTGACCTGTTGAAAAGAGATGGTATCCATCCCTCCTGGGATGGTGCTGCTCTACTCTCTAGTAATATGGCACATAGTCTTAGAGCTCAAACATGACAATCTGGGGCTCAGGTCAGGAAGCAGACAGACTGGCTAAACCGACCGTCTGCTAGCGGCCTCACGTCACCAAGGTCAGATAAATCCCATCACATAGAGCCTCTTTCACCTAGATATCATCATATAGAGACTGTGTCTGGAAGTTTTTTGTATTTCCAAATTCGGGGAACAAACCCATCTAAGGGTAAAAATGTAATTGATGTTCAACAAATAAAAAACAGATATAATACAAACGAGCAAATGATAAAGCTTGGGTTGCTGAATATTCAATCCCTTACTTCAAAAGCACTTATTATTAATGATATGATTACAGACTATAACCTAGATGTGCTGTGTTTAACAGAAACCTGGCTAAAACCAGACGATTACATTACTTTAAAGGGTAACTAATCCCAAAAAAAACTTTTTTTAGTTAATGATCTGTAAGACTGGCGCTTTATTAATGCTGTTCATTGATTCAAGTAATTATTTTGACATTTGAGTATAAGGTGTTTTAATTCTACAATATATGGTGTAAAAACGTCTGAGTGCTGCTCTCTTCAGGTTGAACAGTGGCTACTGCAGTTGAATTTTCCTATTGGAAGTTGTGGTGCCCTGTGATGTAAGCAGGCACCAGCTCACCACGCCCTTGCCTACAGAGAGACGTGTCTCAGGTGCACGCCCCCTCTCCGCTGGGCTCTGCCCACTTTTCCAGCATTTTTCAAATATTGCCAGTGGGTGGAGTCAGGCTCTGACCAGGGGTTTAGTTACCCTTTAAATGAGTCCACCCCCCAAGATTACTGTTATAAACATGAGCCTCGTCTGAAAGGCAAAGGGGGAGGTGTTGCTGTAATTTATAGTAATATTTTCAAAATGACTAAGAAATCTAGTTTCAATTATACTTCTTTTGAAGTGTTGGTGCTTAATGTAACACTATCTAGTGTAAATGATAAATCACGTTTGAGAATTCTGCTGGCTACTGTATACAGGCCACCAGGGCACCATACAGACTATCAAAGAATTTACTGACTTTCTATCAGAGTTAGTACTGGTGGCAGATAAAGTCCTAATTGTTGGTGATTTTAATATACATGTAGATAATGAAAAAGATGCATTGGGATTGGCATTTAAAGACATTGTAAACTCAATTGGAGTTAAACAACACGTGTCGGGACCTACTCATTGTCGTAATCATACTCTAGATCTAATATTATCACATGGAATAGATATTGATGCCGTTGAAATTCTGCAGCAGAGCGATGACATCTCAGATCATTATCTAGTCTCATGTAAATTACATTTAGCCAAAGCAGCAAAGCCGACTCAGTGTTATAAATACGTTAGACCTATAACTTCTGCCACTAAAGATTGCTTTATCAATAATCTTCCTAATCAGTTTCATCATCTCAGCATCCCAGATAGCTTAGAAGAACTCGATATTGCAACAAAAACTTTTAACTCTCTCTTTTCCAGCACTTTAGACGCAGTTGCTCCGTTGCGCTTAAAGATTAAAGAAAATAGTCCAACGCCGTGGTACAGCGAGCACACTCAGGCTCTTAAGAGAGCAGCCAGAAAAATGGAGCGTAGCTGGAAGAAAACTAAATTAGAGGTATTTCGGATTTCATGGAAGGAGAGCTCAATTGCTTACAGAGAGGCTTTAAAAGCTGCTAGATCTGCTTATTTTACAACCCTATTAGAAGAAAATAAACAAAACCCTAGGCATTTATTTGAAACAGTAGCTAAACTAACGAAAAAGAAAGCTTCAACCCCAGAAGTGTCCAAGCAGCACAGCAGTGATGACTTTATGAACTTCCTCACTTATAAGATCGATAATATCAGGGACAAAATTATAACTATACAACCGTCTACCACAGTATCGCATCAGGACGTGCATTGTAGTCTCCATGAGGAAAAAGTCGATTCATTCATTGCTATAGGAGAGGACGAATTTTCTAAACTCGTTAAATCATCTAAATCAACAACTTGTATGTTAGACCCTATACCGACTAAGCTATTGAAAGAGATACTTCCAGAGGTCATAGATCCTCTTCTTAATATCATTAATTCATCTTTGTCTCTAGGATACGTACCAAAAATTTAAGCTGGCTATGATAAAACCGCTTGTTAAAAAAACACAACTTGATCGTACAAAATTAGTCAATTACAGGCCGATCTCGAATCTGCCTTTTCTGTCAAAGATACTAGAAAAGACAGTATCCTGACAACTGTGCTCCTTTTTAGAAAGAAATGATATCTGCGAGGATTTTCAGTCCGGATTTAGACCGTACCATATTACTGAGACAGCTCTCATTAGAGTCACACATGGTTTGCTCTTATCATCCGATCGTGGTTGTATCTCTCTATTAGTGTTACTCGATCTTAGTGCTGCATTTGATACCATTGACCACAACATTGTTTTAAATAGACTCGAAAACTATGTTGGCATTAGTGGAATTGCATTAGCATGGTTTAAATCATACTTATCTGACCGTTATCAGTTTGTAGCAGCAGGGCCGGCCCGTGGCATAGGCAGTATAGGCAAATGCTAAGGGCGCCGGCGCCTTATACCCTAGGGGGGGCGCCAGACCCGCGTAAGGAACTTTCCGCTTTTATTGTACTTCATTAACACAACGGGTGGAGCAATAATGGGATTTACATGCCATTGACTTTGTTTTTTGTGATCAAATTTTTCAAATAAATTCTTACTTTAACGTGACCAGGGGGGAGTTGAAGGGATCACACATATACACTTAGTTCACGGTGCAGAACAAAACATGAGGCGCCACAAAGCAGGATGGGAAACCACCTCCACCAATCAGACTTATTTTACCCGCCATTCGGTTTTCGTTTTTATTGCGTCAAAAAAAAGTTAATATGTCAAAGCGTCCCAAATTATCTGGTGCCCAGGGGAGGAAAAAAAGAAAAGAAGAGGAGGAAAAACGTGACAAAGACAAAGGTAATGTTACAGTAAAGATGATGTTAAATAATAATATTATTTTGATGTTACAGAACGATGATCAATAATGCCATTAGTCATTAGCATACATGGTTAGCTAATCTATAAATAACCAGCGCTATCTGCTAGTTCTAACCAAAATATTAACAGTCAATGGTTCTAACAGATAAGCCTAGCGCTATTATTATGGAAAATAGTAATATGAGTACCTTCCTCGGACAAATGTGTAAATATTAGATCTAATCAGAAGGTGTATTAATGTTAATTTCATTGACATCATTATCTCACGTTTTCCCAGCTTGTAATAAATCAATCAAAATACCATTAATAATCATAATAATAATTCCATAGTTGTAATGCCAGCTGTTAACTGTGTTACAGCTCATATTGTCTATAAAGTGTTTATCATGTTAAAATTTACACCTGTGGCTGTGTTAAAGTGCACACCATTAATGTTAGAGCATAACTTAGCATTCCCACATGCAATATTATACTGCAGTTTACGGATTCTTTTGCATTCTGCTAATTAGAATTTCATTGTAATGACTATAAAATTTTGATTTTATTACTAATATATGAATTACTAATATAATTTGTATCTGAAAAAATACATTGTATATTATACACTATAGTCTACATCATGTATTTATCTTTCACTATAGTCTATTTATCATGTATTTAAAATGAGGTTTCTCATTTATATTATTTCATTTTATTGTATTTTTTAGAATAAATTATTATTACTATAATTAGTATTTTGAATGTGCAATTAAGTTTCTTGTGAGTATATGTACACTAACAGTGCAAGTACTGTACTGCGATGCAAGGGGGTGCGGGGGCGACACTTAAAATCTTGCCTAGGGCAACAAATTGGTTAGGGCCGGGCCTGTGTAGCAGTAAATGAAGAGATGTCTTATCGATCACAAGTTCAGTATGGCGTACCACAAGGCTCAGTACTAGGACCGTTGCTGTTCACTCTGTACATGCTACCATTAGGAGATATCATTAGGAAACATGGCTTTAGTTTTCACTGTTATGCTGATGATACTCAGCTCTATATTTCTTCAAAACCCAACGAAACTTACCAATTCACAAAATTAACGGAATGCATAGATATAAAAAATTGGATGACTAGTAATTTCCTACTACTAAATTCTGAAAAAGAACTGAAAAGAGAGTTTCTAATTATTGGACAAAAAAACGTCCTCACGTAATAACCTAGAATACTGTCTAACACTTGATGGCTGCTCTGTCAAGTCTTCGTCGTCGGTTAGGAACCTGGGTGTGCTCTTTGATACCAACCTTTCTTTTGAAAGCCACGTGTCTAGTGTCTGTAAAACTGCATTCTTCCATCTTAAAAATATCTAAATTACGCCATATGCTCTCATTGACGAATGCGGAACAGTTAGTTCATGCGTTCATGACATCAAGGCTAGATTACTGTAATGCTCTACTGGGTGGTTGCCCTGCACGCTTAATAAACAAACTACAGCTAGTCCAAAACGCAGCAGCTCGAGTTCTTACCAGAACCAGGAAATATGACCATATTAGCCTGGTTCTGTCAACACTGCATTGGCTCCCTATTAAACATCGTATACATTTTAAAATATTACTAATTACTTACAAAGCACTAAATGGTTTAGCTCCGCAGTACCTGAGCGAGCTCTTAACGCATTATAGTCCTTCACGTCTATTGCGTTCTCAAAACTCCGGCCAGTTGATAATACCTAGAATATCTAAATCGACTGCAGGCGGGAGATCCTTTTCCTATTTAGCACCAAAACTCTGGAACAATCTTCCTACCATTGTCCGGGAAGCAGACACACTCTGTCAGTTTAAATCTAGACTATAAACACATCTCTTTGACCTAGCATTAGGGGTGTAACGGTACACAAAAATCACGGTTCGGTACGTACCTCGGTTTTAAAGTCACGGTTCGGTACGTTTTCGATACAGCAAAAAGTAAGAAATGCCAGAGAAATTTCCTATTTGTTAAAAGAAAAAATATTTTTTAAATAAGTGTGAGTTTTCCTACATCTTGAAACTTTCTGGTTTATAAATGGGTGTCATCTTTGAAGGATGAACGAATAATGTTTTGGTCATCACATTAAAAATAACATTTAAATATATGAAGAGTTCAGATGCAAAAGCCATTTGAAATTTTCTTCTAGAATGATCATTTTTATCAAGCTTGTATATTTAAGTTCAGTAATTTCACTTAAATGGCAATGAAGATTACCTATTAATTGTCATTTGAGTGAAATTACTGAACTTAAATATACAAGCTTCATAAAAATCATCATTCTAGAAGAAAATTTCAAATGGCACTTAGAGGCTTTTGCATCTGAACTTTTCGTATATTTATTTATATAATATTTTAGTTTTGAAGTGCTGGAAAAAGATGTGTGAAGTACTTGAAAGCATTTCACTATTCCAGCCAAACTGGTTACATTTAGTGTTACTATATTAAATCCATGGTGAATGTTGCTGGTCTGTGGACGTAAAGTATTACTAGTTCATTCACGGCACAATGTTTCTCCTGGTGTCCACGTCAGCGCTGTTTGATCTAATAGAGATCTACGGTTAATAACGGAGAAATGTGAATGCTTCTCACTAGATCTCGCAGCGATGTTATTACTTCAGTGGCGAATTCAAATGTTTTCTTTACTGGATCTTAGCGCTGTGTTGTAACAGTGTCGCTTGATCGAGATCGGCTCACGCTGTACAGATGTTGCTGGTCCGAACTGCGATCCGTGAAGCACATAATGAGTAGCGCAGTTTCGTTCCGCTTTCATTCCGCTTGCCATTTGATGCTGTGCAGCGTTGTGGTGATCGCGCCAGCGCGAATTTTGTCGGCAGGAAAAATGGTCCAAGGAATCGTTCGGTTTGTATGCGTACCGAACCGGAAGCCTCGTACCGAAACGGTTCAATACGAATACATGTACCGTTACACCCCTACCTAGCATACACATAACACACTATAGACTTCTATAATTCAATGTTAGGCTGCATAGATTAGGTCAGCCGGAACTGGGAACACTTCCCTTAAATCCTGATGTACTCGCTACATCATAAGAAGAATGGCATCTACGCTAATATTAGTGTCTTTGTTTATCCCGAGGTTTTCCCGCAGCCTGCCGGATCCAGGCCGTGTCCAGATCTGACGAAGGAGATTCGCCTGGACCCGATGACAATGCAGTGCTGATGTGTCAACTAGTCCCTCCCTGTGAAGGCCTGCTTCCCTTTACCTCTGGACAGATAATCGTTGTCTGGATAATTCCGGTTCACGTCGCTACGCGGAAGCGATAAAATTCTGTATTATAAATTAAGGCCAGACAAGTAGTTTGTTGAGGGTTGTTTTTTTAGGGAAGGACTACATGCCTGCGCACATATATTCAAACGCGCATACCTATAGAATGAACTCTTAATACGCATGTGCACGCCATCAGCGTTCTCACAGGTTCGCGTTTTTAAAGTTTGCGTAGAGAGAACTTAAGAGTTTTCTGTTTAAACGGTGTCGTGTTAGCGGCCCCTAAGTTAATAACTAATGGTCGTTGCGACGGAAATTAATCAATTAAAACTAACTTTAGCTGGACAATAACTTTATTCTAGAGCTGCTGTAAAGCCAAAACAATCTCTGTTACTTTAATCTCCTATTATCACAGTAAAGCTGCTTTGAAACAATCTACATTGTTAAAAGCGCTATATAAATGAAGATGACTTGACTTGATAGCATATTCCCGCCCTCAGCCATTGGTTTACTGTCCGCCAAGGCATCACTTTAGCGTCTTGTGCAGACCCGCCCCATGGAAGAGGGGGGTTGAGCAGTTGCTCATCATCATTTAAAGAGACATGCACCGAACCGGGTTGTGTTTGAGGAGCTGTGAAAACAGCTGTGTAGAGGAGGTAAAGGGGTGCTGTTTTACACAACCATTGAAGAATTTTAACCAAAGTAAAGTATGTTACAAACTTTATATGAACACCCTACAGAATATACCTACTTGTGGAAAATGGGCATCCGATGACCCCTTTAAGACATCTTTTTATTCAAGCTTTTAATTTATAATTTATTATGGTGTATTTTTTATATGAATTTTTTTTCCTCCTTGTTTGATTTATTTTGTTCTGTACATGCACTTTGAGTTAGAAAAACCTTTCTTTAATGAGAAAGGCACATTAAAAATAAAATGTATTATTATTATGATTATTATTATAGATTGCTATTGTTCTGGATACTGATTGGTAAATACAGCTATCCAGTCATTTTAAAATATATGTCAAGTAGATATAACGTATATATATATCTTGCGGTGTATATCAATTCATTTTTAAATAGAGTAACAGTTCTGACGTGCAACACCTGTACCGGGAATAACAGAGGCCAACAATGAACCAGATTGTATCAGATGCCATTTCAAGAACTTGCTTTTAAAAAAATGATGTTTAATTACACTGTGAAATCTACGTACTGCCTCCCATACCTTCCTGATTAAAGACATAAACCTTAATCTAATTAAAGATTAAAGCCCTACCTGTGCATATCCTGCAGTTGAGGTCGAAGAGATGGTGTTTGTGCTCTGTGGTGGAGTCTTTCAGCATGCAGCCGATCAGCCCTGGAGCGCCCGAGCTCGCGTCCCTCGCAGGGGCCGGCTTCAGTCGAGACACACACCGCTTCTCCTGCTGAGGACACACACATGCTTCAATGCTGATCAGAGGAACAGAAATGGCACTTGCTCTAGCAGTGAAAAAGAAAATCTCCAATACACTCTTCAGATTGTGTAACCAAACTGCAGTGTGTGATCTGCAATCCTTTGCTAACTTTGTCATAACTTCATCTAGAAGTCCCCCCATCGACTCACTGAGGTAGTGTTTGTGTTCAGTGCCTGTGTGGTCGCCCCGATCACCTCTTCCTCACGAGCAGCAGGAGGAGGAGGAGGAGGAGGAGGTTTCTCCACACCCACAGAGCAAACGGATGAGGACGACGACTCCTCCGGCACAGACGACTCCTGTGGGAAACAGTCCAGAACTGAACATCTGCATCGACTGCACATTAACTCTTGTGACAAACAATTCTTTACCTCCACACATGTCATATCCTGCTGACTCAAATTAATGAGCCTGACTGAAGGCATGTTTCCTTTCAAGACCTGATGACACAGTTCCTGAAAACATCAACAGAATAATAAATATACGACTTCACACATTACGAAAACAACGTTTAAACGAAGTAACTTTGTGTACAAAGATAATGTACGAAAAATGACCTTGTTTTTGGGATCTTTCAAGCTGAGGACGAGGCACTGGTGTTTATTCCTATACTCCTCATCTGTGGTGTAACACACATTGAACATCTCTTTCTCCATGTGCACTGCCAGCTTCTCAATTTCATCCTCAGAAATGTTCAGATCATCACTCTGATTAAACCTAAACAAAAAGATAAAAGATGATATGTAGATTTTACCTTGATAATAAAAATATTTTTTAAAGTCCCCCTGTGGTGAAAATCCAGCTTTTAAATGTTGTTTATATGTCTATGATGTGGTGTTTTAAATTCACAAGTCGACAGCATTGCTGAGTATTTTCTTCTTTAAACTGCAGTGAACCAAAGACAGTCTCAAAAACACGGTTTGAAATCGCTGGTGTTTCTGACGTCACAAACGACCTTGTAACCAATCAGATCAACGTGTGATCGCCAACCAGTGGATCTCTGAGCTGACTGAGTGAGTGGAGGCGGGGCTCATCTGCATATTTATAGAACCGCGCATACTTAATGAGGCAAGGGTGTCGAGTTACATTCAAGATATTTTTGGTGATCAAAGATGAGTTTCAAGGGATAAAACGATTGACTACAGGGGGCTTTCAGAGAAGGCAGAGATCACGACAGGTAGGACTCGTTTAGGCATGACCCCCAGCAGAAAGGTGTAGTAGTTGTGTAATATTAAGAGATAAATTGTATATTTTCTACAGAAAATGAACAACATCAATGTTTTCTTTTCTTTGGCAATTCAAGCTCAGTAAAGCATATTGCACAAACACTGCAGCCCTACTGTACCCTTACTAGCGATATAACACCAAATAAAGAACATTATTCACAAGACGATCGCGCTGATCCACAAGAAACTGTGTAACGGAAACTGTAACTGTCATAAAACTCTGAACGCTGGCCACTGACGTCACTGCCATCGTACGATAGGCTGAGGTGCGTCATGTGCTTTCTCCAAAGGCAAGAGATACAAACCCTCTCATCTCCCTATAATAAGACCAGGGCTGAATCCGAAATCGCCCCCTAAACCCTCATTCACTACTCCCGTTAGTCCGTTAAAACAGCTCACTTGAAGGAGTAAATGCGTGAATTCAGACGGTCGTTGAGCGTACATCGTTTGTACACTCGTTATTACGGTGCATTGTGGGATAGAATGAGTGCACTCAATAACGTCCACTATGGTTTTGGACACCACTACAAGTGAATGTCCCCTCAAATAGTTAGATTTCAGACTTCAGATTCAGCCCATCTCGGTTTCTGTTCCCGCCGAAGGCCTTGATCACCTGGCTCAGGTGTGTTGCTAATCCTCCATTAGCAGTGTTGCTAATCTCTGCAGGACAGTGGCCCTCCAGGAGCCTTTATGGCTCACGCTAGGCTGCTTCTGAATACTCAAACAGATGCAACCCCGTTTCCAATGCGTGAATGCAGACTTGAATTGAGCAGTTCACCACACCACGCACTGAACACGCAGTGATGCACGTTAAGGGATAGTATTCACAAGGAAACGTTGGTTGATGCGTTTGAGAAAGTGATCTGCGGGCTACTTGAAACGAGGTGGCGGGCCTTGTGTTCGACATGCACTAGGGTTCAAGACAGCTATTCTGTGAATGATCAAGAGGTGGTGGTGCTGGGTCACCAATTAACATGCGTCACAGGATATTTAGTTTAAGTGAAGACATTTCTTTGTCTAACCTGAGCAAGACTCTGCTGAGCTCGCGGCGCATGTGTTGTCTGATGAGGAGAGGACTGTCCAGCGCAGGCTCGTCCGCCGAGGGCCCGCTCGGAGACTCTGCGGGGGTGCTGCCCTCAGAGGGCCTCTTGGCGGACGCTAACGGGCTTTTACTGAGCGCCCCTCTGAGCAGCTCCAGCCGCGGAGAGCCTGGCATGGTTTTCTTGGCTCTAGCTGGAGTGGACCTCTTGATGAGCGGGGCGGGGGGAGTCTCCTCGGAGGAGGGCCGGTCCCGGGGCGGGTCCGAAAGCTGGGCTGTGCTGGTGCTGTGCTCCACCTCAGCTGGGTCTTTAACGGCTGGAGAGAAGAGAGAAGGATATAAGGATTTAAAACACAAGAAGCATTTGAGGGAAAAACACACTTTTTTAAAAGTCTGGGTAAGGACGCTTTTAAGAAGCAAGCCCATTGTGGGACTAATTATGAAATCTTTTTACAAAAACATTGTTGCTTTAAAAACTTCACTGTTTGCTGAAAAACTGGGCTCACCAATCAGTAGTTGCACGTTTGTGCTTCAACGCATTCCTTGGTCCTGCATGTTCAGACATTTCGGGCACTTTCACACTTGGTCACACAGTTTGACTAAATCCTACACCGTCATCAATGGTTCGCTGATGTGATTTAGGACTTTGGCTTGATCTCTAAAGTCTGCTCAACACCATCCCCCATGTCTCCAAAACAAGACAACAGATGTGTGTATCATTCGCCAATTAAAGCGGAGTCTATTCAGTCAGCATTTAGCTTTTATGTGTTCAAAAAACAACACTGCAAAACCCAACGGTACATAATGATTTCATGTAATGAACTTGACCTCAATTCAACGTGTATTGTTGCACAAATAACTATTGTAGTATATTAGGTAAACTTCTGCTTTTAACTAAAACTTTTCAGTAAAATAATAAGACACTTTAAATCAACTAAACTGACTGTTCCACAAAAGGTTTCAAGCTCAACAGACATCGGCAAAATCCACTGGTGAAAGCTTCGTCAATGCAACGGGAACACGACAAAAACATACGGCATCTTCTACAATACAACTGTTTTCATCTACAGGTCCTTCTCAAAAAATTAGCATATTGTGATAAAGTTCATTATTTTCCATAATGTAATGATAAAAATTAAACTTTCATATATTTTAGATTCATTGCACACCAACTGAAATATTTCAGGTCTTTTATTGTTTTAATACTGATGATTTTGGCATACAGCTCATGAAAACCCAAAATTCCTGTCTAAAAAAAATTAGCATATTTCATCCGACCAATAAAAGAAGTGTTTTTAATAAAAAAAAAAAGTCAACCTTCAAATAATTATGTTCAGTTATGCACTCAATAGTCAATACTTGGTCGGGAATCCTTTTGCAGAAATGACTGCTTCAATGCAGCGTGGCATGGAGGCAATCAGCCTGTGGCACTGCTGAGGTGTTATGGAGGCCCAGGATGCTTCGATAGCGGCCTTAAGCTCATCCAGAGTGTTGGGTCTTGCGTCTCTCAACTTTCTCTTCACAATATCCCACAGATTCTCTATGGGGTTCAGGTCAGGAGAGTTGGCAGGCCAATCGAGCACAGTAATCCCATGGTCAGTAAACCATTTACCAGTGGTTTTGGCACTGTGAACAGGTGCCAGGTCGTGCTGAAAAATGAAATCTTCATCTCCATAAAGCTTTTCAGCAGATGGAAGCATGAAGTGCTCCAAAATCTCCTGATAGCTAGCTGCATTGACCCTGCCCTTGATAAAACACAGTGGACCAACACCAGCAGCTGACATGGCACCCCAGACCATCACTGACTGTGGGTACTTGACACTGGACTTCAGGCATTTTGGCATTTCCTTCTCCCCAGTCTTCCTCCAGACTCTGGCACCTTGATTTCCGAATGACATGTAAAATTGAGCAACAGTCCAGTGCTGCTTCTCTGTAGCCCAGGTCAGGCGCTTCTGCCGCTGTTTCTGGTTCAAAAGTGGCTTGACCTGGGGAATGCGGCACCTGTAGCCCATGTCCTGCACACGCCTGTGCACGGTGGCTCTGGATGTTTCTACTCCAGACTCAGTCCACTGCTTCCGCAGGTCCCCCAAGGTCTGGAATCGGTCCTTCTCCACAATCTTCCTCAGGGTCCGGTCACCTCTTCTCGTTGTGCAGCGTTTTTTGCCACACTTTTTCCTTCCCACAGACTTCCCACTGAAGTGCCTTGATACAGCACTCTGGGAACAGCCTATTTGTTCAGAAATTTCTTTCTGTCTTACCCTCTTGCTTGAGGGTGTCAATGATGGCCTTCTGGACAGCAGTCAGGTCGGCAGTCTTACCCATGATTGCGGTTTTTAATAATGAAACAGGCTGGGAGTTTTTAAAAGCCTCAGGACTCTTTTGCAGGTGTTTAGAGTTAATTAGTTGAGTCAGATGATTAGGTTAATAGCTCGTTTAGAGACCCTTTTCATGATATGCTAATTTTTTGAGACAGGAATTTTGGGTTTTCATGAGCTGTATGCCAAAATCATCAGTATTAAAACAATAAAAGACCTGAAATATTTCAGTTGGTGTGCAATGAATCTAAAATATATGAAAGTTTAATTTTTATCATTACATTATGGAAAATAATGAACTTTATCACAATATGCTAATTTTTTGAGAAGGACCTGTACAAGCTGTCATCACTTGGCAAACACCGGCTCTTCTGCGCTTCTCACGTGTGTATGGAAAAGAGCCCGTTTATGAGAGCTTGCATGTTTTCTAACATAAGGCTTTTCTACAAATCAAAACTCTTGTGGAACAAAACAGGATCCAAATTCATGCGTTATTGCTGGTGCTTTAAAGAGATGAAATGCTGTAGAAGTGCATACAAAGGATGTATTTTGTTGTTATATTAAAACACTAAAATAAAAATAAATGCATGATCAATTTGGGGATTTTTGACAAATTATTGGTGAAGAAACTAATCTTTTAAAAGCATTTTGAAACAAAAGTTGACTTGAAACACACTGTGGCAGCACTTGATCTTAGCTGTGGATACTAGCATTCGACCAGTTAGTCCATTTAACACAGTGCTTCCCTGTTTCATAAGTGACGGTGTAAGATTTCTCCAAATAAAAGTGTCTGTAATGTGGTCACACTGTGCAGCTTTGCTCAATTCAAGCCCATCTGGGAACGGCAAACCCCAACACTCTTCCAATGATTTTAAGCTAAGTCCCCTTTATTTCTATAGCGCATTGTAAAGCTGCTTTGAAATGGTCTGAATTGTATAGAGATAACAGGAAAATAATGATTCAATGAAGAAATGCACAAGGAATTCAGTTCTGCTGTACAGCAGCTCTAAATAAACAAGTGTCATTGATCAGCTGAAGTCACTTCAGTGGTAATTCAGTTCTGTTGATTAACTGTGTAAAGTTCATTTGCATGAGCATGCACACTGGGAGCTGTAAACACGCTCAGAGAGCGAGCGAGCGAGCGAGCGAGCATCTGCTTGTGTCTGTGGAGAGAGCGCAGGATACGTACTGGGTTTGTGATCTGGAGCAGGAGTTGATGATGTGGCTGGCAGGTCAGGGTCTGAACACAGCGGCGACTCATTCGCTTCTTCTGGCTTGATCACATGCTCTTCCTGCGCAGGCGTCTTGCTGATCTTCACCTTGAAAAGCTTTGCAAGAAATGACCGTTTCTCGCTCTGAAATGTGAAAGCATAGTTAACACTGGTTACATAGAGAAACAAACACTCAATTCAAAAAGTGATTCAAAATGTGATCGAGTATTGAGAAATGAGTATTTTTCTTTTCTTTTTATTAATCATTTAAATGCACTACATACTGGTGTACTTCACCATATACTACATATATGTATATATATACACACACATTTATAAAACGGTTAGTTCCAATCCTTGATTCTGGTTGGTCAATAGCTGTGCTTTATTCATGCTAAAACACAGCTATGACCGCTTCACCCAACGGTTCTGTTTATCACTGCGCAACACCCTTACCAACACCCTTAGCAACCACCCGTATCAACATAAACAAAGAAAAAAAACGTAAGAATTAAAAGGCTAAAATGTTTAAAGTAAATTTGAATTTACTAGGTGGCATGACAGTAGATGAGTGGTTTGAGGAACAATTTGGAGAGACTTGATAATATGCTCAAGTGCTGAAATTATAACATTGATACATTCGAGAAGACCCGACCCGTAATGGAACCAATACAGTGCTGCAAACCCAATGGCCAGGGAAATGCTTCGGTGACTGGTGTAATGAAAAGGGTTGCAGCATTGATTTTAAACAAATCACCAAGACAGAACACTAGATTTATAATATATAATATTTAGTAAGGTTTATTAAGTGCAGGTATTATTTAAGTGCAGAGAGAAAATAACGGAATAAACGGAAAATGACTGTTTTCTCATGCTGAGAGATGAGCTATATTTGTGTGAGGAAATATCACATATTGTGTTGTAAAAAAAAAAAATTAAACAAAGTTTGAGAATGGTTCCTAAGTTGTTTTTATTTGAGCTTTCATGCATATTAAATGTTGCTGTTCACGGTCAGTGACTATTTTCCTCTAGTGGAAGGAAGGCTTTTAGTGATTTTACTCAAGGCTAGTGCTGTTTTCATGAATAACCCCACTTCGCCCTTCAGCCGTGACTTATTCACGATACAGCACAGCCTCTCGTACCTTATTCCTTAAATATATATACACACAGTATGTATGTATTTATGTATGTATATATATATATATATATATATATATATATATATATACATAAAAACACACACAAATACATATATAAAATAAACAAATACATTTATATATATATATATATATATATATATATATACAGAGAATATATATTTGTTTATTTTATATATGTATTTGTGTGTGTTATATACACTCACCGGCCACTTTATTAGGTACACCTGTCCAACTGCTCGTTAACACTTAATTTCTAAGCAGCCAATCACATGGCGGCAACTCAGTGCATTTAGGCATGTAGACATGGTCAAGACAATCTCCTGCAGTTCAAACCGAGCATCAGTATGGGGAAGAAAGGTGATTTGAGTGACTTTGAACGTGGCATGATTGTTGGTGCCAGAAGGGCTGGTCTGAGTATTTCAGAAACTGCTAATCTACTGGGATTTTCACGCACAACCATCTCTAGGGTTTACAGAGAATGGTCCGAAAAAGAAAAAACATCCAGTGAGCGGCAGTTCTGTGGGCGGAAATGCCTTGTTGATGCCAGAGGTCAGAGGAGAATGGCCAGACTGGTTCGAGCTGATAGAAGGGCAACAGTGACTGAAATAACCACTCGTTACAACCGAGGTATGCAGCAAAGCATTTGTGAAGCCACAACACGCACAACCTTGAGGCGGATGGGCTACAACAGCAGAAGACTCCACCGGGTACCACTCATCTCCACTACAAATAGGAAAAAGAGGCTACAATTTGCAAGAGCTCACCAAAATTGAACAGTTGAAGACTGGAAAAATGTTGCCTGGTCTGATGAGTCTCGATTTCTGTTGAGACATTCAGATGTTAGAGTCAGAATTTGGCGTAAACAGAATGAGAACATGGAACCATCATGCCTTGTTACCACTGTGCAGGCTGGTGGTGGTGGTGTAATGGTGTGGGGGATGTTTTCCTGGCACACTTTAGGCCCCTTAGTGCCAATTGGGCATCGTTTAAATGCCACGGCCTACCTGAGCATTGTTTCTGACCATGTCCATCCCTTTATGGCCACCATGTACCCATCCTCTGATGGCTACTTCCACCATGTCACAAAGCTCTAATCATTTCAAATTGGTTTCTTGAACATGACAATGAGTTCACTGTACTAAAATGGCCTCCACAGTCACCAGATCTCAACCCAATAGAGCATCTTTGGGATGTGGTGGAACGGGAGATTCGCATCATGGATGTGCAGCCGACAAATCTGCGGCAACTGTGTGATGCCATCATGTCAATATGGACCAAACTCCCTGAGGAATGCTTCCAGCACCTTGTTGAATCTATGCCACGAAGAATTGAGGCAGTTCTGAAGGCAAAAGGGGGTCCAACCCGTTACTAGCATGGGGTACCTAATAAAGTGGCCGGTTAGTGTATATACACTGTGTGGTAAAAAGAACGTCCTCTCACCATTAACTGTTTTCATTTCCAGCAAACGTTTTAACGTGTAAATATTTGTAAAAACACAAAAAGATTTAACAAATGAGACAAACTGAGCAAGTTTCTTTCACAGTCAGCAAGAACTGGAATAACGAGTCCCTGAACAGAGGATCAATATGCAAAGTAGTGGTCAGTCTCTGATTTAACCCCTGCGGTTCATCTCGTCCTCATGGACTGAGCCGGATCCGCCAGACGTTTCTCCACGGTTCATCTCTCCTCATGGACTGAGCCGGATCCGCCAGATGTTTCTCCACGGTTCATCTCGTCCTCATGGACTGAGCCGGATCTGCCAGACGTTCCTCCACGGTTCATCTCGTCCTCATGGACTGAGCCGGATCCGCCAGACGTTCCTCCACGGTTCATCTCGTCCTCATGGACTGAGCCGGATCCGCCAGACGTTCCTCTACGGTTCATCTCGTCCTCATGGACTGAGCCGGATCCGCCAGACGTTCCTCTACGGTTCATCTCGTCCTCATGGACTGAGCCGGATCCGCCAGACGTTCCTCCACGGTTCATCTCGTCCTCATGGACTGAGCCGGATCCGCCAGACGTTCCTCTACGGTTCATCTCGTCCTCATGGACTGAGCCGGATCCGCCAGACGTTCCTCCACGGTTCATCTCGTCCTCATGGACTGAGCCGGATCCGCCAGACGTTCCTCCACGGTTCATCTCGTCCTCATGGACTGAGCCGGATCCGCCAGACGTTCCTCTACGGTTCATCTCGTCCTCATGGACTGAGCCGGATCCGCCAGACGTTCCTCCACGGTTCATCTCGTCCTCATGGACTGAGCCGGATCCGCCAGACGTTCCTCCACGGTTCATCTCGTCCTTATGGACTGAGCCGGATCCGCCAGACGTTCCTCCACGGTTCATCTCGTCCTCATGGACTGAGCCGGATCCGCCAGACGTTCCTCTACGGTTCATCTCGTCCTCATGGACTGAGCCGGATCCGCCAGACGTTCCTCTACGGTTCATCTCGTCCTCATGGACTGAGCCGGATCTGCCAGACGTTCCTCCACGGTTCATCTCGTCCTCATGGACTGAGCCGGATCTGCCAGACGTTCCTCCACTCTTACACCAAGGCACTCGCAGGCTCTCAGACACATCTGGAGGGACGCATGCTGGTCTACAGCTGCTCTTCGGTCTCCCTGTAACACTGCCTCAGACTGTGTCTGGCATGGCGACACTGCAGTGTATTGCTGCGTTCACATTGGCAGGCATCAGTCCTCCTGCAGCGGGTCTATGGCAGGTTTACGCAGGTCATCAGGAGCTCTGGGCATCTTGAGCATCTCCTGATGTTTTCAGAGTCAGTAGAAAGGTCTCTTTACTGTCCTAAGTGTGACTGTAACTGTGACTTTATCTACCACCTGTGAACTTGTTTATGTCTATGTGGTGTTTATAATATGCTTTAAGACATTTACACATATGAATGTGTAAATTCATAAGTCGACAGCATTGCTGAGTATTTTCTCCTTAAAACTGCAGTGAACCAAAGACAGTCTCAAAAACACGGTTTGAAATCGCTGGTGTTTCTGACATCACAAACAACCTTGTAACCAATCAGATCATTGTGTGATCGTCAACCAGTGGATCTCTGAGCTGAGTGAGTGAGTGGAGGCGGGGCTCATTTGCATATTCATAGAATCACAAATACTAAATGAGGCAAGGGTGTAGAGTTACATTCAAGATATTTTAAGCCATGAAGACCTTTTTTCCAAAGAAAAAACATTTAAGTAATTTTGGTGATCAAAGATGAGTTTTAAGGGATAAAATGATTGACTACAGGGGGCTTTAAGGACCGTTTCTCTGGTGCATGCGTGAATGTAGTAACAATGACAAGAAAGCACCACCTGAGAAAGCACCATACTGTGTCTGGAATTGCCCCATATAGTGCACTATTTCTGTCATTTGTAGTGGTGGTGTCCGACACTACAGTGGACATTATCCAGTGTCTTTTAGCCCAGGTCAATAATGTCAAAAAAAAATTCTATACTGACAGTTTTCCTAAGGAATATTATTTTTTCCCAAGGTTTCGGGGGCTTTCAGGGCCCCGTCGTTAAAAGCTCATGAAATTTGACACGTCAGAGTCAACGGCCATTAGGTGCTGGCAAAAGCTGTATACATGGCATCACAGGGGTGGGAGGCTCTGTGTGAAACTCTGTACATACATCGTTCTCATTGAGTCAAACAACTTTCACACAGAACAGCGGCGCAGGGGTCATCGTCACCGTATTTGGGTCCTCAGCAATGCAGATTGGAACACCGGAATTCAATCATGTGGAGGGGTGTCCCAATACGTTTGTCAATATAGTGCACCTCATTGTCTAGATCAGGGATGGGCAACATCGGTCCTGGAGGGCCACTGCCCTGCAGAGTTTAGCTCCAACCCTGAAAAAAAATCACCTGCCTGTAACTTTCTAGTAATCCTGAAGACCTTGATTAGCTTGTTCAGGTGTGTTTGATTAAGGTTTAAGCTAAACTCTGTAGGACAGTGGCCCTCCAGGACCGAAGTTG